CAAGACCAAGTTGCGACAACGAGGTCAACCCACTTCTATAAATCGAAAGAAGACTGCGATCATAACAGAGACCACAACATCTTGGTCTTCATATATTCGGCTTTTTCTTCAATGAGTCTCATCAGCACCTACAGCGGGACTCAAATCATGGTAGTGAGGGGTATAATCTCGACATGTTAACTATTCCAGACAGCCACTATCCGTCACATAACCGACAAAAGCTCAGCAAGGAGTCTTCAGGGTCGTAGAACGATAAGCCGAGGTTTTCTCCGCACAGTTTAACAGACAAAAGCCCAAGGCAACCCTCTAGCGGTTTTCGGTGCGATCAATCTAAGAGTCCCTTCCACCCGCCCTTGCAAAAGAATTGAAAGGTACACTAGTATCAATCTATTAAGGGATTCTTCGAAAAACAGCTTCTCTTCATATAAAATTATTTATTTCCTTCTGCTCGTAATATATCTAAAGGGCATGTCTTCTCTCTCAAAGTAAGTGGGCCTTTTAGAAATATCTTACGAATGGCGTCAGTAAAACCCGAAACGGTCTCTTTACGTAATTTTATCGTCGCAAGATTCCATTAATAAAGAATAAAACAAATAGAGTAGAAAAATCGAATAGATCCACGACTGAAGACAAAACAACAATCGGCCGACGATGCTGATTCGTTCTTTAAAATGGAATGTTTGACTAGTTCATCCACATTAATGGAAAAAAATGCAATACGGTTTCCAAAATGTCTGATCTAACAAAGATAATCCTCTTACACAGACTAAAATAATAGAAATAATTATTAACACTAGAAAACGTTAGCAATTAGGCACTTACAGCTTCAATTTCGGCATAAGCGATTTCCGCAGTGTCCAGATCCTTCGCCTGCAGCGCAAAGCCTGCCAAAACAGCCCAGAGCGTCAAGTCCTTGGAGAGAGAAATAAATGAAATATGTAACAGAGGAAATAGCCTTCAAAACGTAATATTCACCCTAAATCTGGCTCTCTATTTGATCCTACATCCGCAAGAAAGGGCTTTACTACCGGTGTAGACTACTACTTCGGACGATTGTCTAAGCAGATCGAGTCAATAGGAAGTAGAATTCTGGTATTCGAGCATAGATCAAAAATATATCTAAGCTGAAAGAGGCCTGCTTCACCTCACACATTATGACCCAATGATTTTAAAAATGTGTAGACTATTACAATCAGTTTCGAGACACAAGTAGAACTTACAAAAGAGCAGTATTCTGCTTATTTCGTATAGGGTTATGAAGGACTCTGATAGATGCGTATGTCTCAACATTCTATTAACTTTCACTTAGACTTAGTACTAAAGGTGGTCTTATCGAAGATGGTCTAGAGTTTCGACTTCGTCTAGGTTTCATCGACAACCCGGTGGGACTCGAACCCGGCTTTTAAGGCGCATT